CTTAACGGACATATCATCCGTGGAGAATAGTATCAATAGACTTCATTATCGGTGGATAATAGCCTCGGCCTGATTTCGTGATCTGTAGCCTCCAAAATCGAAAGAAAATGGTATTTCGGATAAATCGTCCGAAATCTGTGATGGTACCCCTTTGGAATTTGCCAAAAATTGACCGGGAATAAATCCGCCCAAATCGGTGCTTAATGGACTCAATCATTGTAGGAGAATAACCTCAGGCCGAATCCGTGATCTGTAGGCTTCAATATTCAAAGAAAATGGACTTTCGTCGCCAAAGAAATTACGAAAATGCCATTCGAAAATAAATTGGCCCAAATCGATGCTTAACGGACATATCATCCGTGGACAATAGTATCAATAAACTTCATTATCGGTGGATAATAGCCTCGGCCTTATTCCGTGATCTGTACCCTCCATAATCGAAAGAAAATGGCATTTCGGATAAATCGTCCGAAATCTGTGATGGTACCCCTTTGGAATCTGCCAATAATTGACCCGGAATAAATCCGCCCAAATCGGTGCTTACTGGACTCAATCATCATTGGAGAATAGCCTCAGGCCGAATCCGTGATCTGTAGGCTTCAATATTCAAAGAAAATGGACTTTCGTCGCCGAAGAAATTATGAAAATGCCATCCGACAATAAATTGGCCCAAATCGATGCTTAACGGACATATCATCCGTGGAGAATAGAATCAATAGACTTCATCTTCGGTGGATAATAGCCTCGGCTTGATTCCGTGATCTGTGCCTCCAAAATCGAAAGAAAATGGTATTTCGGATAAATCGTCCGAAATCTGTCATGGTACCCCTTTGGAATCTGCCAAAAATTGACCCGGAATAAATCCGCCCAAATCGGTGCTTAATGGACTCAATCATCGTTGGAGAATAGCCTCAGGCCGAATCCGTGATCTGTAGGCTTCAATATTCAAAGAAAATGGACTTTCATCGCCCAAGAAATTACGAAAATGCCATCCGAAAATAAATTGGCACAAATAGATGCTTAACGGACATATCATCCGTGGACAATAGTATCAATAGACTTCATTATCGATGGATAATAGCCTTAGCCTTATTTCGTGATCTGTACCCTCCAGAATCGAAAGAAAACGGCATTTCGGATAAATCGACCGAAATCTGTGATGGTACCCCTTTGGAATCTGCCAAAAATTGACCCGGAATAAATCCGCCTAAATCGGTGCTTAATGGACTCAATCATCGTTGGAAAATAGCCTCAGGCCGAATCGGTGATCTGTAGGCTTCAATATTCAAAGAAGATGGACTTTCGTCGCCCAAGAAATTACGAAAATGCCATCCGAAAATAAATTGGCACAAACCGATGCTTAACGTACATATCATCCGTGGAGAATAGTATCAATAGACTTCATTATCGGTGGATAATAGCCTCGGCCTGATTCTGTGATCTGTAGCCTCCAAAATCGAAAGAAAATGACATTTCGGATAAATCGCCCGAAATCTGTGATGGTACCCCTTTGGAATCTGCCAAAAATTGACCGGGAATAAATCCTCCCAAATCGGTGCTTAATGGACTCAATCATCATTGGAGAAAAGCCTCTGGCCGAATCCGTGATCTGTAGGCTTCAATATTCAAAGAAAATGGACTTCCGTCACCCAAGAAATTAAATTAATTCCATCAGAAAATAAATTGGCACAAATCGATGCTTAACGGACATATCATCCGTGGAGAATAGTATCAATAGACTTCATTATCGGTGGATAATAGCCTCGGCCTGATTTCGTGATCTGTAGCCTCCAAAATCGAAAGAAAATGGTATTTCGGATAAATCGTCCGAAATCTGTGATGGTACCCCTTTGGAATTTGCCAAAAATTGACCCGGAATAAATCCGCCCAAATCGGTGCTTAATGGACTCAATCATTGTAGGAGAATAACCTCAGGCCGAATCCGTGATCTGTAGGCTTCAATATTCAAAGAAAATGGACTTTCGTCGCCAAAGAAATTACGAAAATGCCATTCGAAAATAAATTAGCCAAATCGATGCTTAACGGACATATCATCCGTGGACAATAGTATCAATAAACTTCATTATCGGTGGATAATAGCCTCGGCCTTATTCCGTGATCTGTACCCTCCATAATCGAAAGAAAATGGCATTTCGGATAAATCGTCCGAAATCTGTGATGGTACCCCTTTGGAATCTGCCAAAAATTGACCCGGAATAAATCCGCCCAAATAGGTGCTTAATGGACTCAATCATCGTTGGAGAACAGCCTCAGGCCGAATCCGTGATCTGTAGGCTTCAATATTCAAAGAAAATGGACTTTCATCGCCCAAGAAATTACGAAAATGCCATCCGAAAATAAATTGGCACAAATAGATGCTTAACGGACATATCATCCGTGGACAATAGTATCAATAGACTTCATTATCGATGGATAATAGCCTTAGCCTTATTTCGTGATCTGTACCCTCCAGAATCGAAAGAAAACGGCATTTCGGATAAATCGACCGAAATCTGTGATGGTACCCCTTTGGAATCTGCCAAAAATTGACCCGGAATAAATCCGCCTAAATCGGTGCTTAATGGACTCAATCATCGTTGGAAAATAGCCTCAGGCCGAATCGGTGATCTGTAGGCTTCAATATTCAAAGAAGATGGACTTTCGTCGCCCAAGAAATTACGAAAATGCCATCCGAAAATAAATTGGCACAAACCGATGCTTAACGTACATATCATCCGTGGAGAATAGTATCAATAGACTTCATTATCGGTGGATAATAGCCTCGGCCTGATTCTGTGATCTGTAGCCTCCAAAATCGAAAGAAAATGACATTTCGGATAAATCGCCCGAAATCTGTGATGGTACCCCTTTGGAATCTGCCAAAAATTGACCGGGAATAAATCCTCCCAAATCGGTGCTTAATGGACTCAATCATCATTGGAGAAAAGCCTCTGGCCGAATCCGTGATCTGTAGGCTTCAATATTCAAAGAAAATGGACTTCCGTCACCCAAGAAATTAAATTAATTCCATCAGAAAATAAATTGGCACAAATCGATGCTTAACGGACATATCATCCGTGGAGAATAGTATCAATAGACTTCATTATCGGTGGATAATAGCCTCGGCCTGATTTCGTGATCTGTAGCCTCCAAAATCGAAAGAAAATGGTATTTCGGATAAATCGTCCGAAATCTGTGATGGTACCCCTTTGGAATTTGCCAAAAATTGACCCGGAATAAATCCGCCCAAATCGGTGCTTAATGGACTCAATCATTGTAGGAGAATAACCTCAGGCCGAATCCGTGATCTGTAGGCTTCAATATTCAAAGAAAATGGACTTTCGTCGCCAAAGAAATTACGAAAATGCCATTCGAAAATAAATTAGCCAAATCGATGCTTAACGGACATATCATCCGTGGACAATAGTATCAATAAACTTCATTATCGGTGGATAATAGCCTCGGCCTTATTCCGTGATCTGTACCCTCCATAATCGAAAGAAAATGGCATTTCGGATAAATCGTCCGAAATCTGTGATGGTACCCCTTTGGAATCTGCCAAAAATTGACCCGGAATAAATCCGCCCAAATAGGTGCTTAATGGACTCAATCATCGTTGGAGAACAGCCTCAGCCCGAATCCGTGATCTGTAGGCTTCAATATTCAAAGAAAATGGACTTTCGTCGCCCAAGAAATTACGAAAATGACATCCGAAAATAAATTGGCACAAATCGATGCTTAATGGACATATCATCCGTGGAGAATAGTATCAATAGACTTCATTATCGGTGGATAATAGTCTCGGCCTGATTCCGTGATCTGTAGCCTCCAGAATTGAAAGAAAATGGCATTTCGGATAAATCGCCCTAAATCTGTGATGGTACCCCTTTGGAATCTGCCAAAAATTGACCCGGAATAAATCCGCCCAAATCGGTGCTTAATGGACTCTATCATCATTTGAGAATAGCCTCAGGCCGAATCCGTGATCTGTAGGCTTCAATATTCAAAGAAAATGGACTTTCGTCGCCCAAGAAAATACGAAAATGCCATCCGACAATAAATTGGCCCAAATCGATGCTTAACAGACATATCATCCATGGAGAATGGAATCAATAGACTTCATTATCGGTGGATAATAGCCTCGGCCTGATTCCGTGATCTGTTGCCTCCAAAATCGAAAGAAAATGGTATTTCGGATAAATCGTCCGAAATCTGTGATGGTACCCATTTGGAATCTGCCAAAAATTGACCCGGAATAAATCCCCCCAAATCGGTGCTTAATGGACTCAATCATCATTGGAGAATAGCCTCAGGCCTAATCCGTGATCTGTAGGCTTCAATATTCAAAGAAAATGGCCTTCCGTTGCCCAAGAAATTACATAAATTGTAACATCCCATTTCGGCTAAACCCATATTTCGATCGCTAGAAAGTTCGCGATTTAAAAATGAGCGTTTTGACAGTATTTCGGCGAAAATCGGATTATCGATCGATCGGATAAGTATACGTATTAATTATATATATATATATGGTGGCTTCTATGGTACCCCGGGTGAAATCCGGGGTACCGCATACCTCGAGTATGGAAACTCTATCTAGACCTCGAATTACCAGGATTTTTGTGTCTGATATTATACCCTAACCCTTAATGAGTGAACCCTAGGTCATAATTATCTAAATCATAATCTATAAACCCTAAGATGGTGCATTACTTTTTGTGCCTATATTTGGATGAATCATAACCGTCGATTATTATTTCTAATTAAATTGATCTTGGAGTATAAGATTGCGAGAGTTAACACCTAGATTTTGATCTTTAAGTGTTAGAGTATAGTATCATGTCCAAAAGATCGGTCAATTCAAAGTCTAGATAGTGTTCTCATACTCAAGGTATGGGGTACCCCGGATTTCACCCAGGGTACCGTAGAACTCGCCATATATATATATATATTAAGCGGCCGGGCCGCATATATATTAATTCCCTGTCCATCAATTCTCACCATCATCATCGTTTAGTTCTATTTGTCCACCGAGAGAACAAAACCAGAGCGAGCGGAGAGAGTACAGGGGAACGTCGGGGAAAAACTCCAAGGCTCGATTCTTGAGCTACAGTGATCCAAAAATCCTGTAAGTAATGCCTAATTCATCTATTCATCGTGATTTATCGATTTAGAGTTTTAAAACGAGTTTTTGGTTCAGGAATTTCTTGAATTCCCGTTAAGCCAAATTAGGGTTTCGGAGTATCCGGAAGCCGGATTGAGCCCAAATTTCATATACGAGCTTCTTGCAGCGAGGTAATCAATCCCCTAGTTCTAATTCCTGATTTTCGGCTATTATTTAGGCCAGGGTCCAAACCGCTGAATTTAGCTCCGGCCAGGGTTTGATGTGTTTTTATCAAGAATTTGACCCGGAGCCTAGAACTAATATTGACGGGGATACTGCAGGGGATATTAGGACGGTCTCGGATTTTAATTTGGTGTTCGTTCGAGAAATTGACGTTTTAGTACGGGAAGCTAAAACCGGTGTTTGAACGACCAGAACTGGTGAGGGATTAGCACGGCATACCGGGTTTGTCGTATCACGATAATTATATTGATTCTTAGAATTGATCTAGGTGAACTAGAATGGCATGATTGGGGGTGTATGAGCTTTTGTGCTATATGTTGAACCCTGGATTGCTGTATGATATTATTGACTTGCCCTAATCGATATGAACCTTGTTTATGCTGATGATTGTGTATATGTTGCAAATTGTGGGCTTGACTGTTAATATGCTTTACAATGGTTCGAGAAGGTGATTAGGTATGATTTTTCATGATTGTTGTATTTGGATGCACAAGTGGCAAAATATATATTCCCTGGTGATATTATGATGTTTTAAGGAGGATGACTTGCACGAGGGTTTATCCCGAGGAAGTGCAATTATACGACTCCTAATTTACCTATGTTGAGCCAATTATGGCCAGGTCAAGTTCATGTGTAAGTAATGAATTATGATTAAGCAAGATGAGATATGAATCATGTATAAGGATACCAAATATGAGTGTTGTGGTCTCACGGTCAATTACATAGTAATTAGGGCTCCCTATGCTATTACTCTATTATGATATGTATGATAGTCACACCTCTCATGTGGTGGTGACTGAAGAATTCTCACGAGATATGACCACACCCAGAGCGGTGTCGGGGTATGACTACACCCATAGTGGTGTGGGGTATGTATGACCACATCCGACGGGATGTTGGGGTATGTATGACTACATCCGACGGGATGTGGGGTATGTTTCCCGGGAGAGTTATTAGCATGGGAGTAGCCAGGCGCCTATAAGTAAAACATGATAAGATGCATATGCATAAGTCAAGGTGGTTGAGTCTTTTGCCTATTGGGATATGAGGACAGCTGAGGTCCGATCCTAGTGTTTTGGCTTGATTGTTAGATGTATGGTAGGGGTATGCTCTGTTATGAACTCACGATGCTATGATTATCTCACTCAGCTATGAGCTGACCCTCTTTTATTCTTCTTCTCTGCTTATGCTATGTGTAAGCAGATCATCAGCAGCAGTAGTAGATAGGTGTATAGGTGGGAGCTGAGCTAGAGTTGAAGCCAGGATGAGGTATGGTCTTCAACTATTTTGTGCTTGGACTACTACTCGGGATTTTGGCCAGTGATCCACACCTTTTTGTAAAAATGTTTTGAGAACGTTTTTCATGTGCACACTAGCTTCTGATGTAGTGTGAGATATCCACAGGTGTGGAAAGTTGATGATATGTGTATATGTTGTGTAACTGTGTAAGTTGTGACAATTATGGTATGTATAAGTTTGGTATGCAGTTGTGTAGTATGAAACAGTGACTATGGCTATGTAAGTCCATGTATATGGTTTGAGTATATATGTTTGTGATGAATTATTTTGCAGGACAAGTTGCAAGAACTGTTAGCCCATTACGCGAGTAATTCATGTCGAAATTTTATTTGGGTAAATTTTGATAATTAATGTAGCACCCGAGATTAATTCCGCTGCAATTGTGTGAACAATATGATTAGGCAAAACGTATAGGGTAGGGTGTTACAGTTTGGTATCAGAGCCCGGTTCCCTCTTTTTGCTGTTATGGCGTACTATACCCTATGGGAGGTTAAACACTCCTAAGGAGGGGAGCGCCCCATAATGACTTAAACTGGGAATTGAGTTTGACATGATTATGTGTATTGGTATGTTGGATGAAATTATCTGCATCATGGTTTTCAAAATTGAGTTTTGAACTTCTATGTTTTCAAGTAATTATTTTGGAAAATTTTTGTTTTAACCAAGTGAGAAATTTGGTGAGGAATGAATTTTGTGTGGATCAATCTAAGGCCAATATTTCCTTGTAGCTAACACGGAAGTTGTCATAATGTTCCTACTGACCAGTCGAGAGGAGTGGGGGCGGTTGATGCAAGACCGCCAGTATTAGATTATGCAAAGATGAAGAGTTTGGGTGCTAGGGACTTTAAGGGAGATGTGAGCCCAGATGCTGTAGTAGAGTGGTTGAGAGAGATGGAAGATGTGTTTGAGTATCTTTATGCAACCCCAGAGGAAAAAGTGCAATATGTTGTTTTTCTCCTAAAGGGGTATGCGAGGAGCTGGTGGTCCTCAGTCTCTAGAGTTAATGGTGAACGAGTTCAGTTCACCTGGGAGGAGTTCCTGAAGGCCTTTAAGACAGAGTTTCTTCCCGAAGCTTTTATCAGGGCAAAGAACAATGAATTCGCCAACCTTAAGCAGGAGAATATGACAGTTACTGAGTACACCATCAAGTTTGTTCGACTACTTTACTTTGAAGATGGGTTGGCGGATACTGAGCATAAGAAGAAGATGAGATACTTGCATGGTCTGCGCATAGGATTGAAAGAAAAGATCCACAGGGTTGATGAAGAGAGCATGGCCACAATCAAGGAGGCAGCACTTAAGTATGAAGCCTATGAAGTTGAGAGCCGAGAGGAACACAAGGCCAAAGAAGAGGAGGAGAAGAGGAAGTTTGGAGTAAATTATGCTGGACCTCGTTACCCACCCAGGAGAGGTCCTAGCAGTTTTGGGAGAACATCGAGTCAATCTATGTCAGGAACATCATACAGGGCACCAATTTCCTCAGCCACACAATTTCCATTTTGTCAAGTTTGTCAGAAGAGGCATCCTGGAGAGTGTAGGAGATTTTCTGGTGTATGCTTTCACTGTGGCCAACCTGGGCACATCATGAGGGATTGCCCGCATTCGAGAGAAGTAAGAGCTACACAGTCAGAGCCTTCAGTGCACATTAGTAGAGCCCCATTCAGGGGTGGTTACCAGGGAGGCCGTAGTGGATTTCAGAGTGGTCGTGGTGGTTCACAGGGTGGTAGAGGTGGTGGTCGAAATCAGCCATCAGGAAGTGGTACGCAGGGTACCAGAGCACAGGGAGCACCGAGGGTTTATGCAATGACTCGAGGTGAGGCAGAAGTGGCACCAGAAGTTGTGACTGGTATGCTTTCTATCCTTGGCAAGCAATTATATGCTTTGATCGATACTGGTTCCTCTCACTCATTCATGTCATATACGTTTTCACATATGCTACGCTTAGTTCCAGATAAGCTAGGTTATACCTTATGTGTTAAAACACCTGTGGGAGATACCTTGAAGGTAGACTCAGTTATTAGAAGTTCCTTCATTTGTGTGGAAGGAGCTTTCCTAGCAGCAAATTTAATTCTGCTACCTTTTGATGAATTTGATGTCATCCTTGGAATGGACTTTCTGGCAACACATGGAGCTGTTGTGGATTGTCAAAAGAAAGAAGTGTTATTCAACACACCAGATAAAGGTCCTGTTGTATTCCGAGGCATTAAGAAAAAGGAGACTCATGGTTTTCTTTCTGCCTTGGAAGCTTTTCGATTAGTGAAGGAAGGTTGTGAAGCCTTTCTTGCTCAAGTTACTGTAGTAATTGATAAGAAGGTTGAGGATGTAGAGGTGGTAAGGGAGTTTCCTGATGTATTCCCCGAAGAACTTCCCGGCCTTCCACCAGAAAGGGAAGTAGAGTTTGATATTGAATTGGTACCTGGCACAACACCAATTTCAATGGCACCATATAGAATGGCACCAATTGAGCTGAAGGAGCTTAAAGAACAATTGCAAGAATTGTTAGATAAGGGGTTTATTCGACCTAGCATCTCACCTTGGGGTGCACCGGTTTTGTTTGTCAAGAAGAAAGATGGTTCCATGAGAATGTGCATTGACTACCGGAGGTTGAATAAGGCGACAGTGAAGAATCGTTATCCCCTTCCAAGAATAGATGATTTGTTTGATCAATTGCAGGGTGCATCAGTCTTTTCTAAGATTGATTTGAGGTCTGGATACCATCAATTGAAAGTGGCAGATGGGGCAACCTCAAAGACAGCTTTTAGAACAAGATATGGGCATTATGAGTTCCTGGTAATGCCTTTTGGACTCACTAATGCACCAGCGGTATTTATGGCTCTTATGAACAGAGTTTTTCATGAATATCTTGATAAGTTTGTGATTGTGTTCATAGATGATATTCTCATCTATTCTAAAAGCGAGGAGGAGCACAAAACTCACCTTAGAATTGTGTTGCAAATTCTAAGGGAGAAACAATTATATGCAAAATTCTCAAAATGTGAGTTTTGGCTGAAGGAGGTAATATTTCTGGGACATGTAATTTCTGGAAGAGGTGTCGAGGTGGATCCGAAAAAGGTGGAAGCAGTGGTGAGTTGGACTCCACCAAAAGATGTGTCGGAGTTGAGAAGTTTTCTTGGCATGGCAGGTTATTATCGACGGTTTGTCGAAGGATTTTCCAAAATTGCTGCACCATTGACTAAACTGTTGAGGAAGAATACCAAGTATGTTTGGGATGAATCATGTCAAAGGAGTTTTGATGAACTGAAGAAGAGATTGACCACTGCACCAGTACTTGCACTACCTTCAAGTCAGGGAGAGTTTGTGGTGTATAGTGATGCCTCGTATCAAGGATTGGGTTGTGTGTTAATGCAAGATGGAAGAGTTATCGCATATGCCTCTAGGCAATTGCGTCCTCATGAAGTAAATTATCCCACTCATGACTTAGAATTGGCAGCGGTGGTATTTGCTCTCAAGATTTGGCGACATTATTTGTATGGTGAGACTTTTAAAATGCTAACTGATCACAAAAGCCTGAAGTATATTATGGATCAGAAGGATTTAAATAGTCGCCAGAGGAGATGGATAGAGTTGTTGAAAGATTATGATTGTACCATTGATTACCATCCAGGTAAAGCTAATGTAGTTGCTGATGCTCTGAGCAGAAAGGGGAAGAAGAATATAAATGATCTGGTTGATTTGAGGGCAATGAATGTTGATTTGGAAGTGGATGGTGTGACAGGGTTACTAGCTCGGTTGAACATTCGACCTTTGTTGCACGACAAAATTCGTGAGAAGCAGAAGGAGGACCCAGAGTTGGTAAAAATCATTCAAGACATTGAGGAAGGAAAAGAAAGCCCATTTGAAATGGTAGATGGCATGTTGAAGATTAATGGAAGAGCATGTGTTCCTAATGTTGATAACTTGAGGAAAGAGATCCTAGATGAAGCTCATTCTTCTGCTTATGCTATGCACCCAGGAGCAACTAAAATGTATCACACGATCAAACCATATTTTTGGTGGCGTGGGATGAAAAAGGAAGCGGCTGAACATGTTCTCACATGTCTAGTATGTCAGAAAGTTAAGGCAGAACATCAAGCTCCCGTGGGAAAACTGCAACCACTTCCAATTCCAGAATGGAAGTGGGAAAGAATCACAATGGATTTTGTATATGGTCTCCCATCATCAAGGGGAAAAGATGCAGTATGGGTTATTGTGGACCGACTAACCAAATCGGCTCACTTTTTACCCATTAGATGGAAACCATCACTGGAGACTTTGTCTCAACTATATATTAAGGAGATCGTCAGATTGCATGGTGTGCCAATTTCTATTGTCTCTGATCGAGATCCAAGCTTCACATCTCGATTTTGGCAAAGTTTACATGATGCCTTGGGAACTAAACTGCATTTTACTTCAGCTTATCATCCTCAAACAGATGGGCAGAGTGAACGAACCATCCTAACTTTGGAGGAGTTACTTCGATCATGTGTAATGCAATGGGAGGAATCATGGATTGACCATTTGCCCTTAATTGAGTTTGCTTACAACAACCAGTACCATAGTAGTTTGGGTGTTCCACCATATGAAGCACTTTATGGGAGGAAGTGTAGAACACCATTATGTTGGGATGTAGAAGGAGCAAGGCAAATCTCAGGGCCAGAGATAGTTCAGATCACAGTTGATAAGGTCAAGGAAATCAGGGAGCGTTTGAGGGTGGCTCAAGATCGACAGAAAGTTTATGTTGACACGAATAGGCGTGAAGTTAATTTCGAAGTGGGTGAGAAAGTATTTCTCAAAGTGTCACCATGGAAAGGGGTGATGAGATTTGGTAAGAAAGGAAAGCTGGCACCTCGATATATTGGGCCATATGAAATCACAGAGAAGATTGGACCCGTGGCATATAAACTAGCATTGCCTCCAGAGCTATCCCAAATCCACAATGTATTTCATGTTAGTATGCTGAAGAGGTACAAAGTGGATCCTTCCCATGTTATACAACCAGAAGAGATCGAGTTGGGTCCAGATTTGACATTTGAAGAGGTCCCAGTTGAGATTGTTGATTTTCAGATTAAGACTCTTCGTAGGAAGGAAATTCCAATGTTGAAGGTTGTGTGGAGGAATCAAGAAAGTGAGAGTGCTACCTGGGATACTGAAGCAAGTATGCGAGAGAAGTACCCTGAGTTGGTAGCGACATACTTTGCAGGTTAACAGTCTTGCTTAATAAGTTATGTTTTGAACTTGTTGATGTGCTTTTGTTGTGATAGCCCAGTATAGGTTTTGGAAACCTAAACATGGGAACTTGAGGTGTTATGTGTTACTTTCTATGTTATGAATTGCCTGACCTAAGAGTTAGGTAATGACTTTATGTATGATAGATCATGTTAAGGGTTAGTAAGAGGAGTTAGAGTACGACTCAAGGTTAGATTTCGGGGACGAAATCTTTTAAGGAGGGGAGAATTGTAACATCCCATTTCGGCTAAACCCATATTTCGATCGCTAGAAAGTTCGCGATTTAAAAATGAGCGTTTTGACAGTATTTCGGCGAAAATCGGATTATCGATCGATCGGATAAGTATATATATATTAATTATATATATATATATAATATATATAATATATTAATTATATATATATATATATATATATATATATATATATATATATTAAGCGGCCGGGCCGCATATATATTAATTCCCTGTCCATTAATTCTCACCATCATCATCGTTTAGTTCTATTTGTCCACCGAGAGAACAAAACCAGAGCGAGCGGAGAGAGTACAGGGGAATGTCGGGGAAAAACTCCAAGGCTCGATTCTTGAGCTACAGTGATCCAAAAATCCCGTAAGTAATGCCTAATTCATCTATTCATCGTGATTTATCGATTTAGAGTTTTAAAACGAGTTTTTGGTTCAGGAATTTCTTGAATTCCCGTTAAGCCAAATTAGGGTTTCGGAGTATCCGGAAGCCGGATTGAGCCCAAATTTCATATACGAACTTCTTGCAGCGAGGTAATCAATCCCCTAGTTCTAATTCCTGATTTTCGGCTATTATTTAGGCCAGGGTCCAAACCGCTGAATTTAGCTCCGGCCAGGGTTTGATGTGTTTTTATCAAGAATTTGACCCGGAGCCTAGAACTAATATTGACGGGGATACTGCAGGGGATATTAGGACGGTCTCGGATTTTAATTTGGTGTTCGTTCGAGAAATTGACGTTTTAGTACGGGAAGCTAAAACCGGTGTTTGAACGACCAGAACTGGTGAGGGATTAGCACGGCATACCGGGTTTGTCGTATCACGATAATTATATTGATTCTTAGAATTGATCTAGGTGAACTAGAATGGCATGATTAGGGGTGTATGAGCTTTTGTGCTATATGTTGAACCCTGGATTGCTGTATGATATTATTGACTTGCCCTAATCGATATGAACCTTGTTTATGCTGATGATTGTGTATATGTTGCAAATTGTGGGCTTGACTGTTAATATGCTTTACGATGGTTCGAGAAGGTGATTAGGTATGATTTTTCATGATTGTTGTATTTGGATGCACAAGTGGCAAAATATATATTCCCTGGTGATATTATGATGTTTTAAGGAGGATGACTTGCACGAGGGTTTATCCCGAGGAAGTGCAATTATACGACTCCTAATTTACCTATGTTGAGCCAATTATGGCCAGGTCAAGTTCATGTGTAAGTAATGAATTATGATTAAGCAAGATGAGATATGAATCATGTATAAGGATACCAAATATGAGTGTTGTGGTCTCACGGTCAATTACATAGTAATTAGGGCTCCCTATGCTATTACTCTATTATGATATGTATGATAGTCACACCTCTCATGTGGTGCTGACTGAAGAATTCTCACGAGATATGACCACACCCAGAGCGGTGTCGGGGTATGACTACACCCATAGTGGTGTGGGGTATGTATGACCACATCCGACGGGATGTTGGGGTATGTATGACTACATCCGACGGGATGTGGGGTATGTTTCCCGGGAGAGTTATTAGCATGGGAGTAGCCAGGCGCCTATAAGTAAAACATGATAAGATGCATATGCATAAGTCAAGGTGGTTGAGTCTTTTGCCTATTGGGATATGAGGACAGCTGAGGTCCGATCCTAGTGTTTTGGCTTGATTGTTAGATGTATGGTAGGGCTATGCTTTGTTATGAACTCACGATGCTATGATTATCTCACTCAGCTATGAGCTGACCCTCTTTTATTCTTCTTCTCTGCTTATGCTATGTGTAAGCAGATCATCAGCAGCAGTAGTAGATAGGTGTATAGGTGGGAGCTGAGCTAGATTGAAGCCAGGATGAGGTATGGTCTTCAACTATTTTGTGCTTGGACTACTACTCGGGATTTTGGCCAGTGATCCACACCTTTTTGTAAAAATGTTTTGAGAACGTTTTTCATGTGCACACTAGCTTCTGATGTAGTGAGATATCCACAGGTGTGGAAAGTTGATGATATGTGTATATGTTGTGTAACTGTGTAAGTTGTGACAATTATGGTATGTATAAGTTTGGTATGCAGTTGTGTAGTATGAAACAGTGACTATGGCTATGTAAGTCCATGTATATGGTTTGAGTATATATGTTTGTGATGAATTATTTTGCAGGACAAGTTGCAAGAACTGTTAGCCCATTACGCGAGTAATTCATGTCGAAATTTTATTTGGGTAAATTTTGATAATTAATGTAGCACCCGAGATTAATTCCGCTGCAATTGTGTGAACAATATGATTAGGCAAAACGTATAGGGTAGGGTGTTACATAAATTCCATCCGAAAATAAATTGGCACAAATCGATGCTTAACGGACATATCATCCGTGGAGAATAGTATCAATAGACTTCATTATCAGTGGATAATAGCCTCGGCCTGATTCTGTGATCTGTAGCCTCCAAAATCGAAAGAAAATGACATTTCGGATAAATCGACCGAAATCTGTGATGGTACCCCTTTGGAATCTGCCAAAAATTGACCCGGAATAAATCCGCCCAAATCGGTGCTTAATGGACTCAATCATCGTTGGAGAATAGCCTCAGGCCGAATCGGTGATCTGTAGGCTTCAATATTCAAAGAAAATGGACTTTCGTCGCCCAAGAAATTACGAAAATGCTATCCGAAAATAAATTGGCACAAACCGATGCTTAACGGACATATCATCCGTGGAGAATAGTATCAATAGACTTCATTATCGGTGGATAATAGCCTCGGCCTGATTCTGTGATCTGTAGCCTACAAAATCGAAAGAAAATGACATTTCGGATAAATCGCCCGAAATCTGTGATGGTAACCCTTTGGAATCTGCCAAAAATTGACCCGGAATAAATCCTCCCAAATTGGTGCTTAATGGACTCAATCATCATTGGAGAAAAGCCTCTGGCCGAATCCGTGATCTGTAGGCTTCAATATTCAAAGAAAATGGACTTCCGTCACCCAAGAAATTAAATTAATTCCATCAGAAAATAAATTGGCACAAATCGATGCTTAACGGACATATCATCCGTGGAGAATAGTATCAATAGACTTCATTATCGGTGGATAATAGCCTCGGCCTGATTTCGTGATCTGTAGCCTCCAAAATCGAAAGAAAATGGTATTTCGGATAAATCGTCCGAAATCTGTGATGGTACCCCTTTGGAATTTGCCAAAAATTGACCCGGAATAAATCCGCCCAAATCGGTGCTTAATGGACTCAATCATTGTAGGAGAATAACCTCAGGCCGAATCCGTGATCTGTAGGCTTCAATATTCAAAGAAAATGGACTTTCGTCGCCAAAGAAATTACGAAAATGCCATTCGAAAATAAATTGGCCCAAATCGATGCTTAACGGACATATCATCCGTGGACAATAGTATCAATAAACTTCATTATCGGTGGATAATAGCCTCGGCCTTATTCCGTGATCTGTACCCTCCATAATCGAAAGAAAATGGCATTTCGGATAAATCGTCCGAAATCTGTGATGGTACCCCTTTGGAATCTGCCAAAAATTGACCCGGAATAAATCCGCCCAAATAGGTGCTTAATGGACTCAATCATCGTTGGAGAACAGCCTCAGGCCGAATCCGTGATCTGTAGGCTTCAATATTCAAAGAAAATGGACTTTCGTCGCCCAAGAAATTACGAAAATGCCATCCGAAAATAAATTGGCCCAAATCGATGCTTAACGAACATATCATCCGTGGAGAATAGTATCAATAGACTTCATTATCGGTGGATAATAGCCTCAGCCTGATTCCGTGATCTGTATCCACCAGAATAGAAAGAAAATGGCATTTCGGATAAATCGCTTGAAATCTGTGATGGTTCCCCTTTGGAATCTGCCAAAAATTGACCCTGAATAAATCCGCAAAAATCGGTGTTTAATGGACTCAATCATCGTTGGAGAATAGCCTCAGGCCGAATCCGTGATCTGTAGGCTTCAATATTCAAAGAAAATGGACTGTCGTCACCCAAGAAATTACGAAAATGCCATCCAAAAATAAATTGAGCCAATTCGATGCTTAACGGACTTATCATCCGTGGAGAATAGGATCAATAGACTTCATTATCGGTGGATAATAGTCTCGGCCTGATTCCGTGATCTGTAGCCTCTAGAATCGAAAGAAAATGGCATTTCGGATATATCGTCCGAAATATGTGATGGTACCCCTTTGGAATCTGCCAAAAATTGACCCGGAATAAATCCGCCCAAATCGGTGCTTAATGGACTCAATCATCGTTGGAGAATAGCCTCAGGCCGAATCCGTGATCTGTAGGCTTCAATATTCAAAGAAAATGGACTTTCGTCGCCCAAGAAATTACGAAAATTCCATCCGAAAATAAATTGGCACAAACCGATGCTTAACGGACATATCATCCGTGGAGAATAGCATAAATAGACTTCATTATCGGTGGATAATAGCCTCGGCCTGATTCTGTGATCTGTAGCCTCCAAAATCGAAAGAAAATGACATTTCGGATAAATCGCCCGAAATCTGTGATGGTACCCCTTTGGAATCTGCCAAAAATTGACCCGGAATAAATCCGCCCAAATCGGTGCTTAATGGACTCAATCATCATAGGAGAAAATCCTCTGGCCGAATCCGTGATCTGTAGACTTCAATATTCAAAGAAAATGGACTTCCGTCACCCAAGAAATTAAATAAATTCCATCAGAAAATAAATTGGCACAAATCAATGCTTAACGGACATATCATCCGTGGAGAATAGTATCAATAGACTTCATTATCGGTGGATAATAGCCTCAGCCTGATTTCGTGATCTGTAGCCTCCAAAATCGAAAGAAAATCGTATTTCGGATAAATCGTCCGAAATCTGTGATGGTACCCATTTGGAATCTGCCAAAAATTGTCCCGGAATAAATCCGCCCAAATAGGTGCTTAATGGACTCAATCATCGTTGGAGAACAGCCTCAGGCCGAATCCGTGATCTGTAGGCTTCAATATTCAAAGAAAATGGACTTTCGTCGCCCAAGAAATTACGAAAATGCCATCCGAAAATAAATTGGCACAAATCGATGCTTAACGGACATATCATCCGTGGAGAATAGTATCAATAGACTTCATTATCGGTGGATAATAGCCTCGGCCTGATTCCGTGATCTGTATCCACCAGAATCGAAAGAAAATGGCATTTCGGATAAATCGCTTGAAATCTGTGATGGTTCCCCTTTGGAATCTGCCAAAAATTGACCCTGAATAAATCCGCCAAAATTGGTGTTTAATGGACTCAATAATCGTTGGAGAATAGCCTCAGGCCTGAATCCGTGATCTGTAGGCTTCAATATTTAAAGAAAATGGACTGTCATCACCCAAGAAATTACGAAAATGCCATCCAAAAATAAATTGAGCCAAATCGATGCTTAACGGACTTATCATCCGTGGAGAATAGGATCAATAGACTTCATTATCGGTGGATAATAGTCTCGGCCTGATTCCGTGATCTGTAGCCTCCAGAATCGAAAGAAAATGGCATTTCGGATAAATCGTCCGAAATATGTGATGGTACCCCTTTGGGATCTGCCAAAAATTGACCCGGAATAAATCCGCCCAAATCGGTGCTTAATGGACTCAATCATCATAGGAGAAAATCCTCAGGCCGAATCCGTGATCTGTAGACTTCAATATTCAAAGAAAATGGACTTCCGTCACCCAAGAAATTAAATAAATTCCATCAGAAAATAAATTGGCACAAATCGATGCTTAACGGACATATCATCCATGGAGAATAGTATCAATAGACTTCATTATCGGTGGATAATAGTCTCGGCGTGATTCCGTGATCTGTAGCCTCCAGAATCGAAATAAAATAGCATTTCGGATAAATCGTCCGAAATCTGTGATGGTACCCCTTTGGAATCTGCCAAAAATAGACCCGGAATAAATCCGCCCAAATCGGTGCTTAATGGACTCAATAATCGTTGGAGAATAGCCTCAGGCCGAATCCGTGATCTGTAGGCTTCAATATTCAAAGAAAATGGACTTTCGTCGCCCAAGAAATTACGAAAATGCCATCCGAAAATAAATTGTCCCAAATCGATGCTTAACGGACATATCATCGTGGAAAATAGTATCAATAGACTTCATTAACGGTGGATAATAGCCTCGGCATGATTCCGTGATCTGTAGCCATCAGAATCGAAAGAAAATGGCATTTCGGATAAATCGCCCGAAATCTGTGATGGTACCCCTTTGTAATCTGCCAAAAATTGACCCGGAATAAATCCACCCAAATCGGTGTTTAATGGACTCAATCATCGTTGGAGAATAGCCTCAGGCCGAATCCGTGATCTGTAGGCTTCAATATTTAAAGAAAATGGACTGTCGTCGCCCAAGAAATTACGAAAATGCCATCCGAAAATAAATTGGCCCAAATCGATGCTTAACGGACTTATCTTCCATGGAGAATAGGATCAATAGACTTCATTATCGGTGGATAATAGTCTCGGCCTGATTCCGTGATCTGTAGCCTCCAGAATCGAAAGAAAATGGCATTTCGAATAAATCGAACGAAATTCGTGATGGTACCCCTTTGGAATCTGCCAAAAATTGACCGGGGATAAATCCGACCAAATCGGTGCTTAATGGACTCAATCATCATTGGAGAATAGCCTCAGGCCGAATCCATGATCTGTAGGCTTCAATATTCAAATAAAATGGACTTTCGTCGCCCAAGAAATTACGAAAATTCCATCCGAAAATAAATTGGCACAAACCGATTCTTAACGAACATATCATCCGTGGAGAATAGTATCAATAGACTTCATTATCGGTGGATAATAGCCTCGGCCTGATTCCGTGATCTGTATCCACCAGAATCGAAAGAAAATGGCATTTCGGATAAATCGCTTGAAATCTGTGATGGTACCCCTTTGGAATCTGCCAAAAATTGACCCTGAATAAATCCGCCCAAATCGGTGGTTAATGGACCCAATCATCATTGGAGAATAGCCTCAGGCCGAATCCGTGATCTGTAGGCTTCAATATTCAAAGAAAATGGACTTTTGTCGCCCAAGAAATTACGAAAATGCCATCCGAAAATAAATTGGCCCAAATCGATGCTTAACGGACTTATCATCCGTGGAGAATATGATCAATAGACTTCATTATCGGTGGATAATAGTCTCGTCCTGATTCCATGATCTGTAGCCTCAAGAATCGAAAGAAAATGGCATTTCGGATAAATCGCCCGAAATCTGTGATGGTACCCCTTTGGAATCTGCCAAAAATTGACCCGGAATAAATCCGCCCAAATCGGTGCATAATGGACTCAATCATCATTGGAGAATAGCCTCAGGGCGAATCCGTGATCTGTAGGCTTTCATATTCAAAGAAAATAGACTTTCGTCGCCCAAGAAATTACAAAAAAGCCATCCGAAAATAAATTGGCACAAATCTATGCTTAACGGACATATCATCCGTGGAGAATAGTATCAATAGACTTCATTATCGGTGGATAATAGCCTCGGCCTGATTCCGTGATCTGTAGCCTCCAAAATCGAAAGAAAATGGCATTTCCGATAAATCGCCCGAAATCTATGATAGAACACCTTTGGAATCTGCCAAAAATTGACCCGGAATAAATCCGCCCAAATCGGTGCTTAATGGACCCAATCATCATTGGAGAATAGCCTCAGGCCGAATCCGTGATCTGTAGGCTTCAATATTCAATGAAAACGGACTTCCGTCGCCCAAGAAATTACATAAATTCCATCCGAAAATAAATAGGCACAAATCGATGCTTAACGGACATATCATCCGTGGAGAATAGTATCAATAGACTTCATTATCGGTGGATAATAGCCTCGGCCTGATTCCGTGATCTGTAGCCTCCAAAATCGAAAGAAAATGGCATTTCCGATAAATCGCCCGAAATCTGTGATGGAACACCTTTGGAATCTGCCAAAAATTGACCCGGAATAAATCCGCCCAAATCGGTGCTTAATGGACCCAATCATCATTGGAGAATAGCCTCAGGCCGAATCCGTGATCTGTAGGCTTCAATATTCAAAGAAAATGGACTTTCGTCACCCAAGAAATTACGAAAATGCCATCCGAAAATAAATTGGCCCAAATCGATGCTTAACTGACATATCATCCGTGGAGAATAGTATCAATAGACTTCATTATCGATGGATAATAGTCTCGGCCTGATTCCGTGATCTGTAGCCTCCAGAATCGAAAGAAAATGGCATTTCGGATAAATCGCCCGAAATCTGTGATGGTACCCCTTTGGAATCTGCCAAAAATTGACCCGGAATAAATCCGCCCAAATCGGTGTTTAATGGACTCAATCATCGTTGGAGAATAGCCTCAGGCCGAATCCGTGATCTGTAGGCTTCAATATTCAAAGAAAATGGACTTTCGTCGCCCAAGAAATTACGAAAATGCCATCCGAAAATAAATTGTCCCAAATCGATGCTTAACGGACATATCATCGTGGAGAATAGTATCAATAGACTTCATTAACGGTGGATAATAGCCTCGGCATGATTTCGTGATCTGTTGCCTCCAAAATCGAAAGAAAATGGCATTTCGGATAAATCGCCCGAAATCGGTGATGGTACCCCTTTGGAATCTGCCAAAAATTGACCTGGAATAAATCCGCCCAAATCGGTGTTTAATGGACTCAATCATCGTTGGAGAATGGCCTCAGGCCGAATCCGTGATCTGTAGCCTTCAATATTCAAAAAAAATGGACTGTCGTCGGCCAAGAAATTACGAAAATGCCATCCGAAAATAAATTGGCCCAAATCGATGCTTAACGGACTTATCATCCGTGGAGAATAGGATCAATAGACTTCATTATCGATGGATAATAGTCTCGGCCTGATTCCGTGATCTGTGGCCTCCAGAATCGAAAGAAAATGGCATTTTGGATAAATCGAACGAAATCTGTGATGGTACCCCTTTGGAATCTGCCAAAAATTGACCCGGAATAAATCCGCCCAAATCGGTGCTTAATGGACTCAATCATCATTGGAGAATAGCCTCAGGCCGAATTCGTGATCTGTAGGCTTCAATATTCAAAGAAAATGGACTTTCGTCGCCCAAGAAATGAAGAAAATGCCATCCGAAAATAAATTGGCACAAACCGATGCTTAACGGACATATCATCCGTGGAGAATAGTATCAATAGACTTCATTATCGGTGGATAATAGCCTCGGCCTGATTCCGTGATCTGTAGCCTCCAAAATCGAAAGAAAATGGCATTTCGGATAAATCATCCGAAATTTGTGATGGTACCCCTTTGGAATCAGCCAAAAATTAACCCGGAATAAATCCGCCCAAATCGGTGCTTAATGGACTCAATCATCGTTGGAGAATAGCCTCAGGCCGAATCGGTGATCTGTAGCCTTCAATATTCAAAGAAAATGGACTTTCGTCGCCCAAGAAATTACGAAAATTCCATCCGAAAATAAATTGGCCCAAATCGATGCTTAACGGACAAATCATCCGTGGAGAATAGTATCAATAGACTTCATTATCAGTGGATAATAGCCTCGGCCTGATTTCGTGATCTGTACCCTCTAGAATCGAAAGAAAATGGCATTTCGGATAAATCGTCCGAAATCTGTGATGGTACCCCTTTGGAATCTGCCAAAAATTGACCCGGAATAAATCCGCCCAAATCGGTGCTTAATGGACTCAATCATCGTTGGAGAATAGCCTCAGGCCGAATCCGTGATCTGTAGGCTTCAATATTCAAAGAAAATGGACTTTCGTCGCCCAAGAAATTACGAAAATGCCATCCGAAAATAAATTGTCTCAAATCGATGCTTAACGGACATATCATCCGTGGAGAATAGTATCAATAGACTTCATTATCGGTGGATAATAGTCTCGGCCTGATTCCGTGATCTGTACCCTCCAGAATCGAAAGAAAATGGCATTTCGGATAAATCGAACGAAATCTGTGATGGTACCCCTTTGGAATCTGCCAAAAATTGACCCGGAATAAATCCGCCCAAATCGGTGCTTAATGGACTCAATCATCATTGGAGAATAGCCTCAGGCCGAATCCGTGATCTGTAGGTTTCAATATTCAAAGAAAATGGACTTTCGTTTCCCAAGAAATTACGAAAATGCCATCCGAAAATAAATTGGCCCAAATCGATGCTTAACGGACATAGCATCCGTG